ATTGGATAGTATGAGACAATACTACAACTAATAATAGATTACTCAAAAAAAAAAGTAGTTGTAGCTGTAGTTGTGACAGGGAGTAGTCTGTGAGTGCTCGTTTCAGTGTGATTGGGCTGATGGAGGAGAGGAGGGGTTGACGGGGAGAGGTTTCTCCTCGTGTCTCCTCCCTGATTTCGATGAAGATGTTGGTGGGATCAAACGATTGCAGGCTCCATCCTCATCGGCTGATACAAGAGGTGGATTGTCCGTCTCCGAAGAGCACACATTCTCCTCACCGACAACGTTGACGACAACGGCTCTCATCGAGCTGCAACCATCAACGATCAGCAACAATAATCATGACACGCAAAGTACGCATCATACGGGTATGTTGAAGTTTCAATAAGCTCACTTAGAAGCTGACTCAAACTTTTAACAATAAACTTGATGATAAGCCTTACAGTAATTCAGATTTTACAGATGAATAGATTAAAAGAGTAAAAGAGGTGCTCTGAAGCGATCGAATTTAATGTTCCAACTTACAACATCATTCGTCACAATTACCCAAACTAAATTTCAAGAGTCTAGCTCGAATCTCTCTAATTTTTTCATAGGTAAACTTTGACTAGGTCTCCTGCAGAAGTGTCCAATATTTAGTCGATCGGAGTAAACGCAACTTTTATATAGGTTCGGAAAGTTGAAAGTCGCGCTTTCTTTGGCACTGGTTTTTGGTATTTAAACCACCATTCTTGCCGGACATCATTCTGAATTTAGTTTTTTCTTGCAAGAATAGTGTCAATGAAAAGTCAAAATACGTTAAATCCTAAAAATTGGCAACTAGCTGCTTCAAAAAGATTGGTAATTTCATTTCCTATTTCAGATTTCCAGCTTTTAGATTTGTTGTTTGTGGGTAGATTTCAGAATCCTCCGGGTTCTTATGATCCTTCAAACTTGATCGTCTTACTTTGCATCACGGCTTTTCATAGAAACTTTCCTTGCAAGAAAAAACTAAATTCCGAATGATCCGCAGCAAGAATGGTGGTTTAAATATCAAAAACCATTGCGTGGCCACGAAAGAGCGACTCTTGACTTTCAGAGCCTATATAAAACTTGTGTTTACTCCGATTGACTGAATATTGGGCATTGCTGCAGGAGTCCTAGTCAAAATTTATCTCTGAAAAAATCAGAGGGATGGGCTGAGCTAGACTCTTGGAAGTGAGTTTGGGCAATTATGAAGCACCCTGTACATTAAGCCTTTCCAGGTCATTTCATCAACGACGAAATGGACAACTCGGATTCGTCATCCGATGAAATTTTCTTATAGTTTTCTTCTATAAATAGCTCTATCTCATGTTCTTTTTTTCTTCTTTTTAAATAGCAATACTTTTTCTCACTCCGCTCCACCTCCACTTCACTTATTAGGGGTACAATTTATCTGTTTTTGGATAAAAGTTCAAAGGTTTATGATAAATCTCATCTTTCTCTCATCTTCTAAATTTCAAGCAATCTTTAGAAAACTCTTCGATACATTCTTCCATTGAATGTGATATCATTTTATGCAATAAGGATTTTTTTTGAATAAAGGAGTTTAATAAAAAGATCGAGAAGACAGCCGCACTTTGTCAAGTTTCAATTCTTTACCTGTGCTGCTCCAACCAAAGTTATTCATCGAAAGTTCTATTTCAGGTGTTTTAAAACATTTTTTGTTCCCTTGGGCAAGCAAATTGATTGCAAATTTTTTTCTGTTTGGTTGCCGCAGCTCTGAAGTCCCTCGGTGAGGAGGAGGGGAGGACGGCCCTCTTTGCCCAGCTTTTTTTTTGAGACGAAAGAGGAGTGGGTGTGGTTGAAAGGAAAAAAAAAGAACTGCAGGGAAAATGAGAGAAATGAACGCCCGAGAAAAAAACACAGCTGATCGTCACTCGGGGAGAAATTTCGCGCAAAACGAGGAGATTCTAGAGAAGAAATGGGTCACCCACCACTCGGGTGCAAATGTTTGCGATTTTTGCTATTGAAACGATCGATTTATTTACTCGCAACAGTGGGTTATTGGAATTTGATCGAACATTAAAGATCAGTTACAAATACAGAAGTATTAGGGCGTAAAGAAAATAATGCCATGTGACAATTGAAAACCATTTGCATCAACTTGGGAAAAAGGTTCCACATGAGCTGACCCAAGGCAAAAAATAGCTTGTGTGTGCTCCATCTTGCTTCAAAAATGCAAATCACACGTTTTTTGACACAATCTTAACTTCTGATGAGACTTGGACCATTTCTGACAATGTCACTCGAAAAAATGAATGCCTCTTTGCTGGTGAAGCCCCCGCTAATCACCCCCAAGCCTTGAATCGAAGGTCATGCTCTGTAAGAATTCGAAAGGATTGGTGCATTATGAAGTGCTAAAACCTAAACAAACAGTCGATGCAGAACCTTCACTCAAAACAACTAGTGGGAGTTAATGAAGCTTTAAAGAAATTGAAGATCAAATCGTCAAGGGTCCGATTTCCCTAGGATAACGCTAAACTTCGCACTGCAAAAGCCACTAATAAAAAAATTGAGGAGCTAGATTGGAAACTTTTGCCTCATGCACCTCACGCACCTTGCACCGTCAAATTATTTTTTATTTCGGACGTTGAAACACTTCTTTGGAGATGTACAGTTTGATAATGATGCTCAAATCATAAATAAGCTCCACACCTATTTTACCTCAAAGGCACCGTTTGAATTGGACGATGCTATTCGGGATCTGCGCAGAAGATCGAAGAAGTCATCGATAAAAATGAAGAATACCTCACCGATTGATCTTTGCTTTGAGTTTTTTTTTTAATAAATAGTTTTGATTCAAAAGCATCATACTATCAAAAGCATAGTTTTGATTTGATTCAAATTTTCTTTACACCCTGATAGATCAGCTGGTAAAACGAGAGTAATACTCTTTACTTTTGGTTCTTGAGATTCAACTTATAAATTGTATCAAAAACTAACCGTTTCAGGTCAAAACAACTAACAGTTTCAAGTCAAAAAGTTTTGTTTTTAGTTTTGTTTTTAGTTTTGTTTTTAGTTTTGTTTTTAAACAAAACTGATTTCTAACTTGAACGAGGCCTTTGAATGTTGAGCTATTACTGTTTGAGTATCTCGATAACTAGACATATTAGCTTATCCAAAAATAGAATTCCCACTAATTTTCTCATCCATTCAACGGTTTTAAATTGAAAATGATATTTCAGAGTTCAAAAAACACAATTTCCGACCCATGAGAATATGTGGGCGAGAAGGGAAAATGGGGGAAACGAGCGAAAGGGATTTTCGAGACACAACACATAAACGACACCCACTCAAAAATGACTGTAAAACAACAAAAAAGGAAATACAGAATGTGGAAAACTTTTGTGCATATTCTTAAAATTGGGAAAAGGCTTGTCTTGTGTCGAACGAAGTTTGGGGCAGTGCTGATAGCCGTTGATCAATTCAACCACAACCAGCTAACCACACTGCCTGACTCCGATGACCATGGGGAATGGGAAAAAAGTACAAAAATCTTGGAATATTGGAAACTTTTCGATTAAATCTGTCAAATTCGAAGTAGAGTAACAAGCTGCTTATCGGTCTTTTTGTTGAAACAGACCTGTTTACAATCTCTGTTGAGAAACGATCGATCATGTCACATTGACGGGTTTTGAAATAAGGGATGACTTGAGAAACGATTTGATACGAAATGTTAAAACTTGATACTGCAATCAGGATTCGTCGCAGTCAGGATTCACCGTCAGGATTTGCAGTCGGGGTTCAGCTTCTTAACAGTCATGATTCGTAGTCAGGATTCGTAGTCAGGATTCATAGTCAGGATTCATAGTCAGGACTCGCAGTCTGAAATACTGCAAGATTCCGAAAGCCAAACTCAGAACAGAATGGCGGAATGAAACATGGATCAAGTGACATCCAGTTTTGTCGACTTTTTTGAGGACTGGAATGAAACAGTACATTAGAGCTTAAAGTTTTGTTAAAGATCAAATAAAAAGCGCAGACATTTTCCCAAAACGAAAGAATTATTGAAAAGGCCCCATGAGAGAGGAAAGGGGTACAAAAAGCAGAAAGTCTTTCTTTCCTCTCCCGGCAACCACCCCCACTGACAACTCGAGGCTTTTAGAAGAGTTTTGAATGCTTTTAATTGTTTCATTTAATTGTAATTTAATTGTAATTTAATTGTAATTTCATTATAATTCGATTTTAATTTCATTTAATTTCATTTTAAGAGCAATCATTTAATTGTTTGCCCCAAATTGTACCTCGTGATTGAGACTGAAATAAGTGAAATGATTGAAATCAGAAAGTTCTCTAATTAATCCAAAATCTGACTTCAAATACTGAAATCTGAAGAAAAATTGTTAAGAATGATATTTATTTTGTCTATTCTAGTGTTTACATATGTTTTTATATCGTAATTTGTATTCATCACGTCATTTCCGTAAACCTTATTTGATCCCCACATGTACATAGCTCATGAGCCTCATTCTGACGTCACCAAATTAATGGAAAGAATTGAATGTGTTGGAAATGTAAATAGGCTTAGTAGGGGAGTGTTAAAAAGAAAACTTTTTGAAAAAAGATCGATTGATTGTGTGGGAAAGAAAAAGGCCGAACATCTGACTATTGAGAAAAAAGAAAAAAGAAAAGGTGAAAGGACGAATTTAGTGAATAAAAGAGAAAAGAAAAGGACGAAAAACATGTCCTTTTTGTCTTTTTCTGATGTAGATTGTATGGATCGGGATGTTGTTTTCAACACAAAGTACAACCAAGTTCGTTTTGAAAGCTGACAAGGATTTATGATAGACTAGTACCCCCAACCCCCCCTTTTTTCCCCCCCCCCTTTTTTGTTTTTAACTTTTATTTTTTTTAAGTGAACCCGGATGGCTTTGCTTATCGATAGAAATTGATAGAAACTTATGATTGAACTCTTTCCCATCACAATTGGCCTTACAAAATCTCCAAAAATTTAAAAAAAAAAATTTTTAAAAAAAATCTATAAAGACATCACTTGTACCTCATAAAACGTCATTTGTTCATAAAAGATTTGTACCTTCTGGCTACAAATTGTATTCAGAAGGTTATGAGAATTTTGATCAGCTCTTTTAACCTAAAGCCTATCCCTTAAAAAGAAAATATTTAAAATGAAAAACTAATTGATACTGAATGAATGTCAAGTTTTCTTGAAAAAGGAAAAACGACTGCTGACGTCACCTTTTCTTTTCTTTTCTTATTTCCCTTCCCTCGATCGTCGTGGGTGGCGCCTCTTTTGAGGTCAACAACCCCGAGAAATCCTTACCATGATGAATCACGTTTTTTTCTGTCAGATTATTGATTTTTGTGAAAAAACTAAATAGAACAAATTACCGTAAGATTAGTCGTTTGGGGGAAATTTTGGAGTGACGTGCCTTGTCCCGTGCCTCACCAAGATTGACGTAAACAAGATGACTCGTGGAAGAAATGAGTGAATGGTTTTGAAATCGAAAAGCTTTCGAATAGGGTTTTGATTAGTAGAATTGAAATATTATAGAATAAAAGGATTCAGCTGAATAGATTCAGGAAATACTTGCGAATTTGACTATTGTAAAGTTCTGTAGACCTTTGAACTGAACTTAGTAGACTCTTGATAGGCTGGGAATCTCACCAGACAAAGTAAACCCTTGTTGTTACCAAACAAACATCTCAAGAAATGAAAACCCGTGATCGAACTTAAAGAAAAGGTTTCCCAAATCCGAAATCATCGTTAAATGATGAAATATGAAGTCATCCTTTTTCAAGACCAAATAGAGACGTTCAGTTGAAAGGAAGGGGCTCTTCTGAGGCTTTTCATCTTGTTGTTTGTGTGGGGGTTGTGGAGGGAAGGGGAAGAGCCTCCCAGGCAGGCCTCGTGTTCTCCGAAGGGGCGCATGACCATCCCCATTCGGCAGAAGGAGAGCCGAAGAGAGGAGACTACGGCAACAAGGACAGGGAATGAGTGAAGAGGGGAGAGGGCAGATTGCAATGGAAAGGGGAATGGCAATGGGCAGACGATGGGGAGAGGCCCCGACCGCGCGACTGCCTGAACGCCTCGCCCTCCCTTTCCTCTCCCCATTCCTCCCGGCTCTGACCAGTCTCTCTGTGTATCTCGAATTTCTCCTCAGCCTTTTTTCAGCGTTCTCTTTTATCTTCTCTGCCCTATTCCCGTTAAACTTTTCTGCTTTATCGTTGCCTCGTTCTGCCTTTTCTGTCCCCAACACTCCCTCATTCATTCATAAATATTTCCATCTTTTCTTTCCCTTAACTTCTTATCTCTTTCTGTATTATATCTCTAGCCCAATTTTCTTCGTTCGACTGAGTATTCCCCTCTTCTCTGAGCTGTTTTTTCCCTTCTCTTCCCCTTCCATCTTCATGGCGAGTCCTTGCTCTGTATGTCTGTCTGTCTTCTCCCGTTTGGTTGTCTGCAGTTTCATGAGTTGTGTCGGGTGGTTTTTGGGGACCGAAATCAGCTGATTGACGAAGGGTCAGCTGGGGTTTTTGCGGGGAAAAAGAATCCCAATTGAATGGGGAAAAGAAAAAAAGACAACAAATGATTGGATGAACCTTGACCGACATCTGTTTTTAATTGTTTATGGAAAAATTGATCATGATTCGTTTAAAGCTTAACTTGTTTCGTTGAAATCAAATAAAAAGCGCAGACAAATTCCCAAAACGAAAGTTTTTCTTGACATTTTGAAGAGTCATGAATCTCTTGGTCTTTTTGGGCAGCAAAACTTCTTATCAGAGAGATGAGGGAAGTTGAAAGGTCTAATTGGATAACTCTTCTTGGGAAAAATGAGCAAACTGTCAATCCTTTCTCAATGGCAAAAAGAAACAAGGCGTCTTTTTGGGGCACCTTTTTTGCCGTCTTCCCACAGCCCGGTTAGCTCAGTCGGTAGAGCACCAGACTCTTAATCTGGCTGTCGCGGGTTCGAGCCCCGCATCGGGCTTATATTTTTGGCAGTTAGGATTTGGAAATTAAAGAATCACAAAGCCGTTTCACCTTCAAAAGTCTGTCCGAAAAGCTGAAAACCCACTTTTCGGTTCCAAATCCCAAATCCAATCAACGTTCGGTTCAGGTTCAGGTATTTTTTGCTTTTTATAAATGTGTTTGACCTTTCGAAAGTTTTGCAAACGGTGAGATCATTTTATTGCATGAATACGTCACATTGTTGGCCAATCAACGTTTTTGTCTGAAGAGATAGGCGAAATTGAACACGGGTTTCTTCAGCACTCGATCCAAATTCTGACGTGTTCGCTTTCTTTCGGCGATTCTCGGCTCTCGTCCCACGAATTCGAGGCGTTCTGAAATGAAAACGAATAGAAGAAAGCATTTTAAGTCTTATATACAGGCTAGAGATCGCTTCACGAATAAAGTTACATACCTAACAAAGCCGGTTCAGCATCAGCAAATGATTGCCCGTTCACATTTACGAATAATAAAGCGGCGAAGATGATCGACCACAACCACGAAGCCATCAATCACCCAAGATCTGAAGGGAATATGCGATTTATATGGTTCAATGAAATTGCTTTGATGAATCATAAAAGAATCAAATCGAAAAGAGTTTCAAATTTCAGTGCAAATCAAGAATTGATCAAAGTGCTCAAGACAACAAGAAAATCTGTAGGAGTAGGCGAAATAAACGATCAAAACAAATCCAATAGATCAAATTTTAATATAAGACTAGTCAAGTTGACCTCAAATATTTGTATGTTATTCTGAATGATGTTCAAAACTCCTCGCAACGACTCTGAATGATGTTCAAAACTTGTTAGACATCCCAACCTCACAATTTACGGATTCGTCTATTTTAAAATGCTATAAAAGGGAAGAAGAAGAATAAAAGGTTAAAAGAAACATGAAACGAATAATTTTATGGAATAAAAACCCTCTTTTGGCCTGATTCTCTCATTCTTGGACATGTGGAGGTGAAGGGAAATGATGTTAGTGATCGGGGATAGTAAATCCTAAGGTTTTATGCTAATTTGTTGCTTTTCTGAGGGTACTAATGGGGATTTTTTTGAATTGTTTGAATTTTGAAATTTGAAAAGAAAAGAAAAAAGAGTTAAACTAACAAAACCATTAAATAAGGCGTTAAGTAGTTAGAAAATTCACGAAATTTGAGTTCATTTTAAAAAGAAACGTTTCAATTTGAATTTGAATTTGTATCGTGGGAAAAAGAATCGACTCAAGGATTTCAAAATCTGAATTTGCGCATTTAAACCCGAAACAAAATCCAAGCCAGAAACAACGTCTTGGCTGCAATTTGCCCATTGATTTTACGAAATACTGAAATAATAGCCTTGAGTGGAGTGAAAATAACAAGAAAGTGCTGAAAATACGAATGTGAGAACGTAGACGAGTTTTCGAGAAAGAACATTATCAAAGATGTGTTCCAAAAACCGTAGAGATTTCTCGAATCCAATCCTAGTCCTCGAGATTCAAGATTCAAGATGCATTTCACTTGGGAGTCCGAGTTTTTCCTTTTGCGGACCATTTGATGACAAGTGGGAAAGCCTTTTCTTCTTCACGTCAACCCTTTTTCTTTCATCTCTTTCGATGTCAAGAGGTGTGAAGAGAAAATAGAAAGATGGTGATGATGTCAGTGAAAAAATAGACAATCTGGTGGCTTTTTATAGATTTGATTGATCTATGGCTTATATGGTTAGATATGTTAAATGTGGCTTGATACTATTTCTTCAGCTGTTGTCAAGAGTTCGGTAATGGCTTGGTGATGAAATAAAGCCAAGCAGCAAGAGTTTTCAAGTGTTTGGTGAAAACCTAAGCAATACTGATCATTATATTGCCTCGAAATTTGCCCACCCACTCCCTGAGAAAGGCGAAAACTCTCGAAAACTAAATGTCAAGGAATCAATTAGACGAAAGCTTTCGATCTGTCAATCCCCTTTTTCGTGTTTCCATTTTCTGTTAACCTGAAAACTTCTACTTTCTATTGGATTTTGAGAATATCACGTCATTCTTCGAGTGAGAAGTGAGGAGACTTTGCTCGGGAATAGAATCGAGTAAACTAGATGAGTAAATTCTAGTTGGATGAGTCAAGCAAACTCTTTCGGAAACAATCAATCTCCAATCTTCATTTAGAATCATTCCAATCCAACCATTCGATCTGAACCAAAACGGTTTAATCTTCGCTTGTATTGGGTTGGTGAATTGAAAACTGCCGGACTTTGAACTAAAATTTATTGAACATAAAACCATAAATTCATTCCAAATAAATTCCATTATTATTGACGACTTCTGCCCATTTTATAGGCAATTTGAGGATTCCTCTTTCGTAGTAGGATTTTGGCTTGTGTGTGAGACAAGTGTGAGACTCAAAAATGGAGGACTGGAGATGGAGACTGGAGATGTCTCAGTTTGAGCACTTTCTTCAAAAGAAACCCATTTTGGTGTGAATAGAAAAGTTGTAGAGAATCAAAAACTCGGCTTATAGCCAAATTTCCAAAAAGATACACTGAGTAGTTTTGCTTAAAATAAAAGTCTTGTGAAAATTGGTAAATTTGGCATTTCTTGAAAACCAGTTTTTGAATCGTTCTGAAAATTTGGATATAAGCTTCATTTTTGATTCTCTACAACTTTCCAGTGACACCAAAATGGGTTTCTTTTGAAGAAAGTGCTCAAACTGTCACATATGACAATAGCCCGCAGTTTTCAATTGACCAACCCAATAGATTGACCAAACTTCTAGATCGAATCTATTATTCAAAAGTCACGCTCAAAATTGGGCATTTCTTGGTATCACTTAGATGTTTGGTCCAAGAACAAATTCCATGTCAACAACAGAAATCACCTGCATGTTTAAGAAAAATTATAGAAATTACTTGTGAAATTGTTTAAACACAGGATTTCTGTAGTTTTTCTGCTGTAAACCGGCTTAAACATTCGTAAACACATTCGTAAGCTTGCGACTAAAGTAAAGCTTCATTTTTGTTAAGTATTAACTTCACAATGTCACCAATCATCTATGCGGATCCTCATGGATATTTACTTGTTCTAACATTAACTGGAATTCCGAGTTCTATCATCAATTTTTACACAATTTATCTGATCATCTATGTATCAGCGTTGACTATGAAGAACTATCGCTATGTAATCTTATTTTATCAGGTTTGAGCTCGGTTCGAGTAAAATCTGAAGCAGGAACTGGTCTAAAAGCTTTTTCTAGATTGAATCAACCATGCTAGAGTTATTTCTCCATCTATCCGCTCCCGAACTCTTCTTCCCAACTTGGAGTGGTAAAGCGCATGGGATATTTTATAAATGGTTCAAAATGAGTGCCACTATACATTTTGTAAGCTTCAATAAATCATCAATCTATGAAGATTCAGGAAATCTTCATTTTCCTTGCACTATCAATGGATTTGAGTATTCTTTTGTGCATTCTTTATCGCCATCGATTGATTCTCTCTGATGGACACTGGTTGAAGTAAATGATTCAGTAGAAGTGGATTGTGAGGCCCTTTATACGCGAGGCCCGCCCCTATTGCGATTGACAATCCAACTTTGAGCTCAAATAACTTGGTGTTGGGTTGTCCAATTTAAATAGTTTTTGTACCACTCGACAGAGAAAGATTTGGCGCATCTAGTGATACCAAGAATATCTAAATTGAACAGCCCAACACCAAGATATTTGAGATCAAAGTTAAATTGCCAACGGCAAAAGGTACCCGCATCAAATGTCCGAGAACCATAGAAGTTATCTGATTCACCCTCAGGTTACGGGTGAAAACTTGGGCTGTAATCATTTGCGGTCATTTCTTCGCCTTTTTACTTATTGGTTTCATTTGTGTGTGGAATTTAAATCTGGAACAACAACCGAATGCATCTGGGCTCAGTGTGCTAATAAAAGTTGTTTTAACTGACAAATTAAAATACAATTTAAATCTGTCCAGGAACATCCTCAATTTTCGTTTGTCACAAATGAAAGCGATGTCTGGATTTGTGCCCCGAAGGCTCCCATTTGGCCGCCTTATCTCAATTTCACTCCCGCAGACGATGTTGAATGTCTAATTGTGGCTGCTGTTTTAGCTGCTTTGTTTTGGGCAAGTACAGATGAAATGTGTTGAATGCCAATGTTTTAAGGGTATACTCTTTGTAGCTCATTCGTTTTATTCATTGAAACAACCCACTATTAGCATGAGCATCAATACACGCAATCAACACAGAAAGCTTTGCATTGTACTACTCATCCAGGTACTAATCACTTTAAAAAGCTAAATCCTTGTTTTCAGCTCTTGATCCCAAGCATTACTATGCTCTATCCACTTATTTTCTTTGCCTTCATTTTGATATTCGATGTCATTCTCGATCAATGGATACTCAATGCAAATATCGTTATTTTGTCATTGCATGGAGTGCTTGGATCGTTTCTGATTTGTTCATTAACCGATCCATATCGACATTATATAGTGAAAGTGGCAAAGAGATTAATTTGGTGAGATTTAACTTGATCAAATGAAGAAATTGATTATTCAGGTGGAAATCTCTATTTAAAGAAAATCAGATCAAAGAACAAATCGGAGTTTATCGAGTCACAACAATAAGCTATATGGAGAACAATTTGAAGCAATCAAATAAAAGTTGAAAGTTTTAGTTTGCTGAGTTTTTTGGCATTCCATACAAACACAAAAAGGACCAGTAAAACTGTCAATCCTTCCCTAATGGCAAAAAGAAACAAGGCGTCTTTTTGAGGCACCCTTTTTGGCCGTCTTCCCACAGCCCGGTTAGCTCAGTCGGTAGAGCACCAGACTCTTAATCTGGCTGTCGCGGGTTCGAGCCCCGCATCGGGCTTATATTTTTGGAATTTCATTCTTCAAGTCATTTTCATTATTTCATTATTCAATGTTCATTTTACGTTATTCATTCTTAATTTTGATTCAATGAATGGAAGCTATTCATAAGGAATCTCAGCTAAAAAGTTCGTCAGGAAAGCTGAAAGCCCGCTCCTCCCACATCAAGTTTACTGGATTTCTTGTTTTCATTTTAGGTTTTTAAGCTTTGTTATAGTTAGAACATCCTCTACGAAAGACTCTATCAACTCTCCGAGTTCATTCTCATCAAAGATCATCATCAATTCATTAAAGATCCACGTTACCCATGTTCTCTACACCATTTGAGAAAATCCCAGCTCAATTATAGTTCCTTGTGAGATAAAATCGTAGAGAATTTGTCTAAAGATTGGAAATTTCCTTTTTTCTTTCTTTTCTTCCCTCATTTCTTTCTCTTTTCTCGTCTCCATGGGTTTAATCCGTGATTTCAGCCGCTTCTCTGTTCAAAATCTCATTAACTCTCAGAAATCACAAACTGTACAATTCGGCTTCTCTCTTTTTTTCCGAAATTTCCCAATCTATAATTAGAAATTGTCATGCTTTTCCGTTTTTTTGTGGGTGATTTGATCTTCGAGCATTGATGCTGGTTAGTTCAACAGCTCAACGAACATCCCATGGTTACATAG